GGCCCGGGCTGGGGATTCGAACCCGCCACCTTAGGTGTATGTGGCTGGCGCCTTAGCCGCTTGAGCCACAGGCGCCAAGCCGGGATAGATAATTTGTGTTGGGAAATGTTGAGAGTACACAATAAAAAGATGCATTGATGCCAGACTTTGAGGGCCCAGGTGAGCCTCCCTGTCAGTTACTGTGTTCATAAATGAAAATGATCACTCATTGCAGCTCCAGATTTTAGAAACATGCCTGGGGAACAAGCACATTAACCCTCCTGGACACCTCCCCCTCTCCCCAACTCCCTTCCATCAATATCTGCAGGGAATAGAGCTCACACACCTGAAACCAGCATTCCCAAGCCTTTCTGCAGCTCACCCAACTTTGGGGCAGGACCTAGCTCTGCTCCAGTTTCCCAGGGCCTGCCCAGGCTTGCAGGGAACACCACACCCTAAATCTATCTACAAATGGATCAGTTGGCCATTGCCCATACATCTGCTGCTTGCCTTTTCCCCAAGGGAAACTCTTTAATGAGAAAGCCAAGTACTCTTTCCCTTCAGAAGTAAGCTCTGCTGCTACTTCCTCCTTCTCTCACTACCAGGTGCCAGGTCCAGCTAGGTTTGACACGTTTCCTCTGAAACTCCACCAGAGAGCCCTGGAAAAGGACCAACTAATAAGATCAAGGTTCTATGGAGAGTTTGAGGCTGGGCCCCAAGACAGTATGAATTCATTAGGGATCTTTCACCATTAACATAAAGATACCTCTGCCCATCCATGAAACCCACCAGATGCATATCATAAGGAGACAAAAAGAAAAAGGGCCTGAATTCCTGACATTAATTTGTCTCTTTACATCTTTGCCAGGTGCTTTTACAGAAAGTCAACTATATCCTTGAATGTGACACACAGTCATTCTGAATCTTGAAGGAACTTGAGTGAGGCTTTAGGTCCCATGAGAAAGGCCAGAAGCTATTTGGAATGAGTGGCTTTAGGAGATGCAGAGGCCCCTTCTCCAGAGTGCCTGGAACCAAAACAGACCAGGCTTGTCACTATTGAAATGCAAATGAAACACTGAGCCTCTGGGCAATTCACTTGGGTTTTGGTTCCCAGTGAGTCATAGAAGGCAAAAACAAGTTGAAAAGTTGGTATAGGTGAATGGAACAGTAGCTCCTGAGGAAAGGAAAGGTCTTCCCAAAAGCAAAGGGACCATTCTTTTCAATGAGAAAAATCTGAAAGAAGTAAGAGTATGAGGTGGAAATGAGGAGAAAAGTTCTCTTCTCTTTCTGAACCAGAGGCTCCCAAAGTGTCTCTTGGGCAAACATATGAATGCAGACCCTATAAGAAGCCAAACAGCACTTGACAGGTCTATGAGGGTATCTAGGCTATGGAAACACTCTGGTCATGATCCCTGGAAGACCAAGTAGGGCCCAGAGACTAGCAGGTGAGCATCTCAGGCTAAGGTTGCCAAAATGTAGAAGACATCTACAAGGTCCTAATCAAGATCTCCTCATGTGTGAAGTCCCTCAAGAAGGCCAGGCTGGAATAAATCTGAAGTCTGTGGGTTGGCCAGAGGCTACCCAACCTATGGCACCCAGGGAGTGACTTTCAGTCCCTCTGCCAGCAGTATTCAGCTCCAAGCTGGAGCACCCCCAGGTGTATCTATGGCATCTCTGGGCCTCAGCTGGGGAATCAAGTGTACTTGGCATTGGCTCCCCCCAGGAGGGGAACCTGGCACTCCCTGCCCCACCCCAGGTGAGAGGGCCACAGCTTGTGCAATGTTTGTTGAAAGAGGCCAGAGAAGTGCCTCTAATTATCACCACGGTAATTATAGGATCACCTCTTCTACAAAATGTGTTCAAAAGAGACTTGAGGAGTCTCCCCCAGGATGCATCATCTGCCTTAGGCACAGACTCCAGGGAGCAGGCATTGCCAGGTCTAGCTGGGTTGCTTAGGCACAGCCTATGAGAAGGTCAAGGCTTAGGTTTGACCCAGGCCCCACCTATCCTTTCAGCCCTTTTCTCATCTCTATCTTCCACCTCCTCCCCCACGCACATGTGCACATGTATGTGCACTTCATTTATACTTGACAGTGACCTACTTGTAGCCTCCTGATGGGCTTTGTTTTTTGCTTAATCCCTGATCAAGCCCAGGAAAGTTTCCCATTGCCTCTTCACTGCTGCTCATAGTTTGGGGGCTTGGTTTCAATGTCACCTCCTCCAGGAAGTCTCACTTGACCAAACTTAGCCTGGGTTAGATACGCCTCCCCTGTACTTCCCACCACCCCCTGAATTTACCTGTAGCATATTTAGCACAACAAACTGTTGTTGCCTGTTTACTTGTCAGCCTCTTCCTTAGATTGTAAATGCCTCGTGGGAAGGGACTGTGGCTTGTTGCCAGTTAACATCCTCAGTGCCCAGTGCAGAAGAGAAGCTTGAAGTTTGTGGAACAAATGCTCAAAGCGAGGAGAAGGCAAACCAGTATTCAGAACAACTGGTTTTGCCTGTTACTGTATTCAGTATCCCCACCTGTCCCCTACTAAGACTAAGAATCCCCTAACTGTCTCACCTACTGAGACTGAGAATCTTTAAGGCTAGAGAAATGTCTATTAGAGAATTTATGGGAAGACAGAGGATCCCCCCAAAAGTAAAGTTTGTAGTAAGTTTAAAGACATGAGGTCACTTGCTTCTTTGAACCTAGGTTTTTATTCTTTTTTTTTTTT